GGGCATTGCACTCTCCAATCACCAATATTTTCTCCCTTGACACGCCACACACACAACCTCTCACCATTAACCACTGAAAGCCTTTCACATCTTTAACCACTGAGCATTCAGCCTCTTTACACAACCACACACACACACACACACACAAACTCACACAGACACACACATACACACCACAAATACTGTGTGACACACCACTCATTACGCCAACACTCTGCCTGTCCTTCCTTAGAGCCTCTGGGTCCCTCAGGGAAAATACTTTATGAAAACATAAGTGAATAGATAGATAGATAGAAGATAGATAGATAGATAGATAGATAGATAGATAGATAGATAGATAGATAGATAGATAGATAGATAGATAGATAGATAGATAGATAGATAGATAGATAGATAGATAGATAGATAGATAGATAGATAGATAGATAGATAGATAGATAGATAGATAGATAGATAGATAGATAGATAGATAGATAGATAGATAGATAGATAGATAGATAGATAAAGTCATGGCCCGCTGAGCATCAACAAATCTATTCTGTCCTCCATAAGGTCACACAAGTGAGTGAATACACACAACTATTACAGTGCCTTCAGAAAGTATTGAGACCCCTTGACTTTTTCCACATTTTGTTAGGTTACAGCCTTATTCTAAAATTGATTTAAATGTTTTTCCCCCTCATCAATCTACACACAATACCCCATAATGACAAAACAAAAACAGGTTTTTAGAAATTGTTGCTTATTTGTTAAAAATTAAAAATGGAAATATCACATTTACATAAGTATTCAGACCCATTACTCAGTACTTTGTTGAAGCACCTTTGGCAGCGATTACAGCCTCGAGTCTTCTTGGGTATGACGCTACAAGCTTGGCACACCTGTATTTGGGGAGTTTATCCCATTCTTCTCTGCAGATCCTCTCAAGCTCTGTCGGGTTGGATGCGGAGCGTTGCTGCACAGCTATTTTCAGGTCTCTCCAGAGATGTTCGATCGGGTTCAAGTCTGGACTCTGGCTGGGCCACTCAAGGACAATCAGAGACTTGTCACGAAGCCACTCCTGCGTTGTCTTGGCTGTGTGCTTAGAATTGTTGTCTTGTTGGAAGGTGAACCTTCGCCCCAGTCTGAGGTCCTGGGCGCTCTGGAGCAGGTTTTCCTTAAGGATCTCTCTGTACTATGCTCCGTTCATCTTTGCCTCGATCCTGACTAGTCTCCCAGTCCCTGCCGCTGAAAAACATCCCCACAGCATGATGCTGCCACCACTATGCTTCACCGTAGGGATGGTGCCAGGTTTCCTACAGATGACGCTTGGCATTCAGGACAAAGAGTTCAATCTTGGTTTCATCAGACCAGAGAATCTTGTTTCTCATGGTCTGAGTGTCCTTTAGGTGCCTTTTGGCAAACTCCAAGCAGGCTGTCATGTGCCTTTTACTGAGAAGTGGCTTCTGTCTGGTCACTCATTTACACTTACATTTTAGTCATTTAGCAGACGCTCTTATCCAGAGCGACTTACAGTTAGTGAGTGTATACATTTGTTATTGTTTTTTTCTACCATAAAGGCCTAAATGGTGGAGTGCTGCTGAGATGGTTGTCCTTCTGGAAGGTTCTACCATCTCCACAGAGGAACTCTAGAGCTCTGTCAGAGTGACCATCGGGTTCTTGGTCACCTCCCTGTCCAAGGCCCTTCTCCCCCGATTGCTCAGTTTGGCCGGGCAGCCAGCTCTAGGAAGAGTCTTGGTGGTTCCAAACGTCTTCCATTTAAAAATTATGGAGGCCACTGTGTTCTTGGGGACCTTCAATGCTGCAGACATTTTTTGGTACCCTTCCCCCAGATCTTTGCCTCGACAGCTCCTGTCTCGGAGCTCTACAGACAGTTCCTTCGACCTCATGGCTTGGTTTTTGCTCGACATGCACTGTCAACTGTGGGACCTTATATAGACAGGTGTGTGCCTTTCCAAATCATGTCCAATCAATTGAATTTACCACGAGTGGACTCCAATCAAATTGTAGAAACATCTCAAGGATGATCAATGGAAACAGGATGCACCTGAGCTCCATTTCGAGTCTCATAGCAAAGGGTCTGAATACTTATGTAAATAAGGTATTTCTGGTTTTTATTTTTAATAACAATTTCTAAAAACCTGTTTTCGCTTTGTCATTATGGGGTATTGTTTGTAGATTGCTGAGGATTTTTATCTATTTAATCCATTTTAGAATAAGGCTGTAACGTAACAAAATTTGTCAAGGGATCTGAATACTTTCCGTAGTCTAATATAGCTGTAGAAAGAAGTAGAAAGAAGAAGAGAAAGAAGGTAAATGTATGTCTGTAGTGTCAGCTCAAATCCCAGGGTTAACACAATTAACAGCATGTCCTCCAGCACCTTCCCCAGCACCTCTCTGGAGGCCAGGTAATTGGTGCACCCCGCAATAGGGGGAAAACATCACAAAGGAAGGACAGGAAGAATGAGGTGATTCATTTGCAAGAGGAGGAGGTCGATGGCGATGTAATTCACGGGACGTCGGCAGAATAACATTTTCCTTATTCCCTCAGCCTTCACCCACCGCGCTGGCCTCGCTCCGTGATTGCCTTGGTGTTCACCTCGTAACCGGCGGAGGGAGGTCAGTGAGTGAAAGGCGCTGCCGTGGCAGTGTGGAGTCTTGGCAGCATGCATAGCTTAATTAGAGGAAGGCATGAGAGACCCAAGGACCCCGACTCTCTGCCAAACGTCTCCGCAACTTTTCCACTGTGGATAGAGAACATTCCCAGAACGTTCCCCCAGGACAGTCAGGACGCAGCTAGTGCTCAGACACGGTAAGGTCAAGGGGAACGCTTGAAGAGACTGTTGTGTGACTCTGGTGTGTTTATGGATGGAGTGCAAATAGCTGTTTATGTGTACGTGCTATGTGGCAGGGCTCTGGTGTCATAGAGGGCCTATCTCAATGGGAATACCTGGGTTGAGTAACGGTTAAGCACACAAACAGTTGCTGTGAAAGCAACGTGGTATTGCACCATCCCTTTTTTGAAAGGAGTCCATAATAAAGGCAAAATTGATCTATATTTTGAATCCCTTTACAGTATGATGCATCTGAAGGGTTTCATACTGTAATCTAATATTCAAGAGGTCTTGTACATGAAACAGACAAACATCAAAAGCACCAAACATAATCTATAGTCCAATTCTAACCTTTAACCCCTTCTGAACCTCTGTAGCATCAACAAGATTGACAGCTGACAACAGAAGGTGGTCTTGTATTTGTTATTTCTTTGTTGTTCAGGAAGACACCTTTAGCAGGGCTTAACCACAGGGGTCACAGAGTCCATGTCAGTCTGCCTTTCTAGTTGCCAATTAACTTCCCAAACCAACCAATAGGAGGTCACGTCACCTCTACAAACCCTGTGACACTTTCCGTTCACACCTGAGACTCAGACACATTCAAGCACGCACAAGCACAGTCACGCATGTGCACGCATGTTCGCACATACACGCAAACACACACACACACACACACACACACACACACACACACACACACACACACACACACGTGTGTGGTTGAGTTCTAATATAATCATATTTTGATGAGGGAGCATCTGCTCTCTACATAAAAGAAAGACGTGGGTTTGTATTGTTGTTGTCTTGTCCTTGATTTCTCAAAGATTACCTCCTATGTTTAGATACATAAGAACTAAATTTAGTCTCCTATATTTGTACTACCTTGATAGCCAATGTTTAGATGCCTTACAACCTTTATTTTTAGAACATCTTAGAGTTTTTAGTCGTAAATGACTCATATACAGTGGAGATATATTTTATTTCCTCATGCACAGTGTGTGCATATAAATTATTTTCCAAAAGTTGCCCTCAGGCCGTTTCGTCAAAGCAGCGATTCATTTCACTACATCCTTTAAAACAACTGACCTCACTAAAGAACAGACCCTGGTGTACTGCACCAGGCAGACTGTATTCCCTCCATACTGTCAGGAGTAACCGAATAATAAACCACTACAAATAACTAATTAGCAGTTGTTTCAAATGAAAGTCAACGCAGGGCACACACACGCACACAGCAAGCCCTAATAACCTTGCACTGCATTCAGATACGAGAGTGTGAGTGTGTTGTGAATTACATCGAAAACAGAGGGGGGAGGAGAGGCAGTTAGCTACACTAGCCATAGCGTCTAATAATTACAGATCTGTACCTCTGTGGTGTTAATTAGGGGCCCAAACCCTTCCATGGTGACCCAGGAATAATGGATGATGAGCGGGGGAAGGGGACAGGGCGACCAGGGACAGATCCTGAGGAGTGAGGAGGGACGGCGCTCTAGCTGTCGGTTTGAGGGGCTGAGATGCTCTTCGGTTTGCCTGCATCCCACGCATCCCAATGACAGAGGGGAGAGAGGGGTTCTTCCCCAGAGTCTCTGCACTAATGAAGATGTGACAGTCCTAGTCCATGACTAGCGGAAAGAGGGGGGAGAAGGAGGTGAGAAGGCTTGTGGAAAGTAAAAGAGAAGAGATAGAGGTGGAGGAGGTAAGGGAGCGAGTGATGGAGATGAGTGGCGAGGAAGACTGAAAGGAAACGCATGAGAGATGGCCTGACAGAAGTGTTGTAGTTCTTCTGACATACCAGTTACCTCTATTTTATTCAAGTAGTCCTAGACACACACACAACTACAAGCACAACTACAAACACAACTACAAACACAACTACACTCACAACAAAAGGGCCATGACTAAGTGTGTCTAAAAACATACCAATGAATCAACTGCTTCCTCTATCATAATACGCCGAAAGCAGGTATGTTGTTTGTTGACATTATGTAATCATTGGAGGAGACACGTCACAGTGGAGACACACTGCATAAACACCAATCCCAGAACCCTTCCTGTTCTATGTCGCTCGTCTTCAGACAGTCGTGTTGCTATAAACCAACCTATCCATTTCAAAACATAAAGGTGAAAAAACAAAACAAAAATTTGGGGGGGGGGGGGGGGGGGGGTTCAGAGAGTAGGACTCACCAGAGAGCTGGTGTAAGAGGGGTCAGAGGTATCGTCCTGGAGGTAGCGCGAAAGTCCGAAGTCGGACACCTTGCAGACCAGGTTACTGTTGACCAGGATGTTGCGGGCAGCCAGGTCTCTATGGACGTAATTCATCTCAGAGAGGTACTTCATGCCCGCTGAGATGCCCCTCATCATGCCCACCAGCTGGATCACGGTAAACTGACCGTCGTTTTGCTGCAGGAGAGATTGAGAGAGGTAAAAAGGGATTGTTAGTGTCATGAAATGAAAATTGTCATCTACAGGCCTATCTGCAGGCCTTTCAGCTGAGATGTCGACAATAAACAAGCAATATTGTCACGATCGTCGAACACAGAGGACCAAGGCGCAGCGTGGAATGCGAACATACTTTTATTTTTAATGATCACACAAACAAAACAACAAAACGATACGTGACGTCCTTGGCAATAGACACTAACCAAACACGGAACAAGATCCCACAAACACGGTGGAAAAACAGGCTACCTAAGTATGGTTCCCAATCAGAGACAACAAGCAACAGCTGATTCGCGTTGCCTCTGATTGAGAACCACACCGGCCAACATAGAAACAAATGAACTAGATAAACAACCTAGCACACAAAACACATAGAAACAACCCACCCTGGCTCAACATAACAGAGTCCCAGAGCCAGGGCGTGACAGTACCCCCCCCCCCCCCCCCCAAAGGCGCGGTCGCACTGCGACCGCGCCAAACATAAACCGAACAGGGGAGGGCCGGGTGGGCATTCCTCCTCGGAGGCGGTTCCGGCTCCGGGCTTGACCCCCACCCTCCAACAAACCCCCCATAGCGCCCCTGGTCCGGTCTGGCCCTGCTGGCTGGATCTGGACTGGACATCGGTGGAGCGGATCGCTCTGGCTCCGATGTGGAGCAGCTAACCGGTACCTGACCAGGCACCGGTGACCCAGGCACGGGCTGTGCCGGACTGACGACGCGCACCACAGGCTTGGTGCGGGGAGCAGGAACAGGCCGGACCGGGCTGACGACGCGCACCATTGGCTTGGTGCGGGGAGCAGGGACGGGCCGAACCGGGCTGACGAAGCGCACCACTGGCTTGGTGCGGGGAGCAGGAACAGGCCGGACCGGGCTGACGACGCGCACCACAGGCTTGGTGCGGGGAGCAGGGACGGGCCGAACCGGGCTGACGAAGCGCACCACTGGCTTGGTGCGGGGAGCAGGAACAGGCCGGACTGGGCTGGCGACGCGCACCACTTGGTGCGAGGGGCAGGAACAGGCCGGACCGGGCTGGCGACGCGCACCACAGGCTTGGTGCGAGGGGCAGGAACATGCTGGACCGGGCTGGCGACGCGCACCACAGGCTCGGTGTGAGGGACAGGAACAAGCCGGACCGTACTGGGGACACACACCACTGGCCCTACGCGGGGTTCAGGAACGGGCCGGACCGGACTGGCAACACACCCCAGTACCTCTCGCCGTGCCTCTACATTCTCCTTCCCCCTGGTGACCAGTGACTCCCGTAACCTGGCGGCCTCCTTTGCCAACCCGCTGAACCACTCTATCCCGGCCTCCTGCTGCCCCGTCGTCCACGGCGTGAGCCCCCCCCTAAAAAATTTCTGGGCGTCTCTCCTCCCCGTGGGCCAGGCCTCCATGGCTCTCGCCAGACTCTCGCTCCTCTGCTCCAAAGTCCAACCTCTCTCCTCCTCCCGTGGCTTGACCCAGTCGAGGTTGATATCCTTTAGGGCCCTCTCTGGCGTTGGCTCCTAGACACGCTGCTTGGTCCAGTTATGGTGGGATCTTCTGTCACGATCGCCGAACACAGAGGACCAAGGCGCAGCGTGGAATGCGGACATACTTTTATTTTTAATGATCACACGAACAAAACAACAAAACGATACGTGACGTCCTTGGCAATAGACACTAACCAAACACGGAACAAGATCCCACAAACACTGTGGAAAAACAGGCTACCTAAGTATGGTTCCCAATCAGAGACAACAAGCAACAGCTGATTTACGTTGCCTCTGATTGAGAACCACACCGGCCAACATAGAAACAAATGAACTAGATAAACAACCTAGCACACAAAACACATAGAAACAACCCACCCTGGCTCAACATAACAGAGTCCCAGAGCCAGGGCGTGACAAATATTCTACACTATTTCACAGTATTAGGCATTGAGATGTATAGACCTACACAGTTCTATTTGATTGCATAGCTCTATTTGATTGAAATGCAATTGATTTAAAAACCGCAACAACATGACACTAACACAAGCACATTTTACTATGCAACAGATTTTGTGTGAGTGTCAGATTGTATAAAGGCCATGCCTAGCCAACATTGTTCTGTGTTGCAAATTCCTTCCACGTCTTCTGGGATCTCGTTCCCAGATTAGAAAAGCCTACAGCCACATCCGTGTCACCACAGTCAGGAAGTAAGGGCACACTTTTGTACAAGATCTGCCGTCACACCTACAGTACGTACAATGTTCCATACACACAGGGTGTGACAAACAGCCTAACCTGCTGCCTATCTATCTCTGTGCGACCCACTTCTCCAACACAGCAAACTAGTTATTTCGGAGTCTGTGACAGAATCTTCAAGCCTTATACTTAAAGTGATTTGCTCTTTTGATTTTTACTTTTACGATACACTCTTAGAAAAAAGGTGCTATCTAGAACCTAAAAGGGTTCTTCGGCTGTCCTCATAGGATAACTCTTTGAAGAACCCTTTTTGGTTCCAGGTAGAACCCTTTTGGGTTCAATGTAGAACCATTTCCACAGAGGTTTCTACATGGAACCCAAAAGGGTTCTACCTGGAACCAAAAAGGCTTCTCCTATAGGGACAGCCGAAGAACCCTTTTGGAACCCTTTTTTCTAATAGTGTATCACACTATCGACACAGTCCCAGACAGCCCTTGTATTGCATATCATCTCCTATTTTACATCAAAAGGAGGGGGGCAGAATACATTTTGATTACTAAATTGGATTATTCAAACACGATCCTATCAAAACGAGTTGCTAGAGGATATTTCTAGTGAAAATTGTACATCGTACATCACTGTTGGTAACACTCACACATGGAGGAGCTCTCTCTCTCTCCCCCCAACTCCTTCCTAGTTCCTCCCTGTATCTCCAATGCTCAGAGGAGCTTTGACACACACTAACAAATAAGAGGGTAGGGTAAGATCGATGGGAACATAAGACGGAGGTGGCGGCTAGCAAAGCCAACTTCAAAGGGTCCCTTTAAACCAGCATTAGAACAAAGTAGAGCGTAAAACCAATCCATGAGATGACGGGAGGGAGGGAATGAAGAAGGGAAGGAGAGAAAAAAATATGGGTTGAATATTGATTAAGCTGTACACTCGCTCGTTCCGTCCCAGCTACAAAAGAGCGAGGGGATAGTCCATTAAGAGCTTGGGGCATGAATGGAGAAATTAAACGAGGACATAAATTGGCTATTTCAGGAAGTCTTTGATGAGGAGAGAATGGAATTGCGTTCGGTACATTTTCAAATCTACACTGACTGTGATCTATAAGCCTAAGCCCTATTGCAGGCTGAGAAATGTACAGTACATTGCCATGGGTCATGAACTGCTGTTAGGTGTCCTTGTATGTTTATTGCAATCACAAATTGTCCTTTGGGTGGTGAACCATTGTTGATACACACGGGAACTGTTGAGTGTCAAAAATTCAGCAGCGTTGCAGTTCTTGACACAAACCAGTGCGCTTGGCATCTACTACCATACCCCGTTCAAAGGCACTTACATTTTTTGTCTTGCCCATTCACCCTCTGAATGGCACACATACAAAATCCATGTCTCAATTGTCTCAAGGCTTAAACATTCTTCTTTAACCTGTCTCCTCCCCTTCATCTACACTGATTGAAGTGGATTTAACAAGTGATCAATAAGGAACCATAGCTTTCACCTGGATTCACCTGGTCAGTCTATGTCATGGAAAGAGCAGGTGTTCTTCATGTTTTGCATACTCAGTGTATATCAACATACTGTATAATACATATTATGTGAATAGCAAAAATATTTAAATAAACTATTACCACAGTATAACATTTACTATAATAAACTATAAAAAAGAGGTGGTAAGCAGTGTTTATAAATTATTAATAAGACATAGCGGAGTGAACACCATCCATATTCCTTGTCTTATATTCATAAAGTGTTTTAGATTAGGAGTGCTGATCTAGGATCAGTTTAGCCTTTTAAATCATATTGAATGAGATTACGTGGGACAGGGGGTCCAGCTGATCCTAGAGCAGCTCTCCTACTCTAAGACACTTGATACACACATGTTCTATAACTCACCCTCAGGAAGGAATCAAGGGCCCCGTTCTCCATAAACTCTGTGACGATCATGACTGGCCGACTCTTGGTGACCACGCCCTCCAGTCTGATGATGTTGGGGTGGTCGAACTGTCCCATGATTGACGCCTCGGACAGGAAGTCCCGCCTCTGCTTCTCCACGTATCCTGCCTTCAGGGTCTTGATGGCCACGTAGATCTCCCTCTTGCCTGGCAGCTTCAGGCGTCCCTTGTACACCTCACCAAACTCACCTGGGGGAGAGAGAGGTATAGTGTGTGGTTATAGCGCTAGATCAACAGTCTAGAGAGATCAAGTCAATATTAGACCTTGAGATTTCAGTAAATATGAATCCATTCGATCACGCTAGTGCAATATAATCTGGCTCGAGAGGGACCAGGGACCCTATATGACCAGGGACCCTACACAACATGTATGTTGGACCAGAGTTAACAAGCAGAATATATTTAGACCTTTGTGTTTTCAATAATCTAATGTAATTGTCTCATTTGAGATCAACATTGGGGCTATCTTGTTGAACAGTAGCTCAGAATCTGGGAAGGGCATTCATAAGTAGAAACTAAAAGAATAATACAACAAATTCACAGTAAATATCTACTATTTCCATTCCTTGATTAGTCATCATTCTCCAGGCATCCCGCGGAGATCTCACACCACCGAATAAACAAAAAACGGAAATCTGTAATTAGCAAACCCCCATTCCTCTATCATTCCCCTCATCCCACTCCTCCATCTCCTCCCCTATCCCCTATCCTTCCTCGTTTCCTATAATAATAATAATAATATGCCATTTAGCAGACGCTTTTATCCAAAGCGACTTACAGTCATACGTGCATACATTTTTGTGTATGGGTGGTCCCGGGGATCGAACCCACTACCTTGGCGTTACAAGCGCCGTGCTCTACCAGCTGAGCTACAGAGGACCACTCCTATCATGCAGTGTGTCTCAGCCAGACCACGAGAGGCTACTCCAGTCCTTGTCTCATTAGCCTGCTGTTATTTTAGTCCCTGTATGAATCAACACAAATCAGCATGTCCCCATACAGTCAACAAGGTCTGGCCTGGCCCATCGAGGGAGGACATGTCCCCAGATAGAGAGAGGAAGGGAGTTAGAAAGGGAGAGAGGGAGGGTGTTAGGAAGGGAGAGAGGGAGAGAGGGTGGGAGGTGGGGGGGAGAGAGAAAAATAGAGATAGAGAGATACACAAAGAGAAAAAGAGAAAAAGAAAGAGAGAGAGAGAAAGAGAGAGAGAGAGAGAGAGAGAGAGAGAGAGAGAGAGAGAGAGAGAGAGAGAGAGAGAGAGAGAGAGAGCACAAACAAACGCACACATCCATCCACATTTACCTGCGCCAATGACTTCTTCGATCTTGACGGTGGAGACGTCAATCTCCTTGGCGAACTCACGGACAGCCTCGTTGGGGTCCTCATAAGTGAAGGGGTCGATGTATATCTTCATCCCCGGAGAGCCTGAGAAGTGGGTCGGGCAGCCCAGTGGGGAGGGGCAGTTAGACATGTCGGCTCTCAGGGAGAGCTCTAGAACCAATCAGAGTGGATATGAACAATCAGGAAGAGCGTTGAATTGTTGGTGTTTTTGGTGGTGAAATGGGCTGTGGGTGGACATTGAATTCATATGTCCATGTAGTATGTACAGTGCCTTGCAAATGTATACATCCCCCTTGGCGTTTTTCCTATTATGTTGCATTACAACCTGTAATTGAAATAGATTTTTGTTTGGATTACATGTAATGGACATACACAAAATAGTCCAAATTGGTGAAGTGAAATGAAAAAAAATGACTTGTTTCAAAATATTCTAAAAAAATAAATAATGGAAAAGTGGTGCGTGCATATGTATTCACCCCCTTTGCTATGAAGCCCCTAAATAAGATCTGGTGAAACCAATTACCTTCAGAAGTCACATAATTAGTTAAATAAAGTCCACCTGTCACATGATCTGTCACATGATCTCAGTATATATACACGTGTTCTGAAAGGCCCCAGAGTCTGCAACACCACTAAGCAAGGGGAACCACCAAGCAAGCGGCACCATGAAGACCAAGGAGCTCTCCAAACAGGTCAGGGACAAAGTTGTGGAGAAGTAGAGATCAGGGTTGGGTTATATAAAAATACCAAACACTTTGAACATCCCACAGAGCACCATTAAATCCATTATTAAAAAATGAAAAGAATATGGCACCACAACAAACCTGCCAAGAGAGGGCCGCCCACCAAAACTCACAGACCAGGCAAGGAGGGCATTAATCAGAGGCAACAGACCAAAGATAACCCTGAAGGAGCTGCAAAGCTCCACAGCGGAGATTGGAGTATCTGTCCATAGGACCACTTTAAGCCGTACACTCCACAAAGCTGGGCTTTACGGAAGAGTGGCCAGAAAAAAGCCATTGCTTAAAGAAAAAAATATCAAACACGTTTGGTGTTCGCCAAAAGGCATGTGGGAGACTCCCCAAACATATGGAAGAAGGTACTCTGGTCAGAGCTTTTTGGCCATCAAGGAAAATGCTATGTCTGGCGCAAACCCAACACCTCTCATTACCCCGTGAACACCATCCCCACAGTGAAGCATGGTGGTGGCAGCATCATGCTGTAGGGATGTTTTCATCAGCAGGGACTGGAAACTGGTCAGAATTGAAGGAATGATGGATGGCGCTAAATACAGGGAAATTCTTGAGGGAAACCTGTTTCAGTCTTCCAGAAATTTGAGACTGGGACGGAGGTTCACCTTCCAGCAGGACAATGACCCTAAGAATAATGCTAAAGAAACACTCAAGTGGTTTAAGGGGAAACATTTAAATGTCTTGGATTGGCCTAGTCAAAGCCCAGACCTCAATCCAATTGAGAATCTGTGGTGTGACATAAAGATTGCTGTACACCAGCGGAACTCATCCAACTTGAAGGAGCTGGAGCAGTTTTTGCCTCGAAGAATGGGCAAAAATCCCAGTGGCTAGAAGTGCCAAGTTTATAGAGACATACCCCAAGAGACTTGCAGCTGTAATTGCTGCAAAAGGTGGCTCTACAAAGTATTGATTTTGGGGGGGGTGAATAGTTATGCACGCTCAAGTTGTCTGTTTTTTTGTCTTATTTCTTGTTTGTTTCACAAGAAAAAGTGGTAGGCATATTGTGTAAATCAAATGAGGCAAACCCCAAAAAAATCCATTTTAATTCCAGGTTGTAAGGCAACAAAATAGGAAAAATGCCAAGGGCGGTGAATACTTTCGCAAGCCACTGTATGTAACAGCATAGTGCAATGAAAAATGTAGCTGTGCTGTAATACAACCCCTCAAAAGGTTTCCATCAGGGGTTGGAACCGGTTCAGGGAACAGAACCAAAAACCTGAAAATATTTTTTCAAGGAACAGAAACGGAACCAGGAATGAAAGTGATCCATACTGTTCCGGAACAGAACCATTATTTTAAAAGCATGGGAACCGGTTAATAATGTTATTTTACGTTCAAGGCATTCTAAAAACGCAACAAAGTGCCTATGCAAAGCCCTTCACTCTGTCACTAAGAAACATATTCCAGTGTTATTTCAGTCGCATCTTGTGCCATAGGCTACACTTGTATGTCCATCACGCATGTAAACAACTAGCTTGCCTGCTCTATCCGCACTGATTGGTGAAGTAATTGAATGAGCAAAATGTAAAAAACAGTTGATTTCACAGGTTAAAAAAGGAACAGAAAGGAACAATATAAACTGGTAAAAAGTTTTGGTTTGAACCGGTTCAGAACTTTATTTTGCTGGTCGGAACAGTGGAACGAAACGAAAAAATTGTGGTTCTGTTCAGAACTAAACTAATAACAATAATTTTGGTTCCAACCCCTGGTTTCCAGGAATCTGTCTTTGGGTGGAGGCGAACAAGCAAGCCTGTGTGAATGGATTAGAATTATAGTAATGTACACAAGTCTATTTGGGCTCCTGCTTTCTCCCAGGAACAAGCACTCCTCCACAGCAGACACTAATAAAATAGTGTTTTGATTAATCCGTTTTATTCAACAGTAAACATTGAGAGCCAGGAGAAAGAGAGAGAGAGTGATAACAAGAATGTGAGAGAGGGAGACAGAGAGAGAGAGAGAGAGAGAGAGAGAGAGAAACAGTTTTTTTCTCTTCCTCTCTACCCTGTGATCGCAGAGGAACCAATTTCCCCACCGTCTCTCCCCATAGGAGCTCATAAACTAATAAAACCGCTTCGCTAACCAACAGCTCTAAACGCCAGCGACAGATAGGTGAGTACAGTTCACTGTCTGGGGATGTCTGGGAATGGAGGAACACTTGTTTCTGAGGCAGATGAGATGGCTTGTGGGTAGTCAAAATCGTATTCAACACATGCAATGACAACGTAGAATATATGCCTAAAATCACAACCTATCCACTATATCATGCAGTACATTTGACTAGAGCCGCATAGGGCAGCCACGAACTAGAGATCTGGTCAAAAGTGGTGCACGATATAGGGAATAGGGTGGCATATGATATGCACCTATAGACAGATCCAAACATACATCCCATTACTTCAGAGAGCGGATTCTTTCAATGACATTGATTAGCACTCTCAGACTGGTTTTGCAATATGGCACCAGAATTTAAATAAACCTGTCGTCTCCTCATGAACCTCATTCAACTACATGACAATCAGCAGCAAGGTGAGCAGAGTCAAGTGGCGGAGGGCTGAGAGGGGGATAGGAGGGATAGGATCTCTAGTCAAGGAGGGGATCAAGGAACCTTGTACCTTACATATAGCTCTCGACTGAAAGCTCTGTCTAGCTAGCACACTAATTACCTTGAAGCCTGTCTCTGTGGATGTAATTGCTGATTAGAGACTCCATTGAGACTGGATTACAGATAATCCATGACAGGGTTTGGAGTTCTGCATTCTATAATGACATTCTAGACGTGTGTGCATGTGTGTGACTGAAATGCAGCTCAGGAATCTCTGGCCTGGGAAACACACAAGCAAATAGGTATGCACGCACACATTTATATATATGCAAACGTATGCACACACACACACACACAAACTTGCATCCATTGCCTTTTTCCATATTCCACAGACCCCTGCCCACTTTCATGTATAATTTAAATAGCAAACAGTTTATCAGTTGTTTGCGCGGGCCAAAGCACTTCCAAACCGCCGGGTCTATTTTTACCCAGCTATAAAACAACAAAATCCCTTGGGAGAGGAAGAGGGGGGAGAGAGGGAGGGATAGAGAGAGAGAAGAACCACTCTAACCAACAGCTCAAGGCACATATTTGGCCCTAAAGTACACACACCTAAACTAATCTACTTTATAGATCCATAATGTACGCATATACACTCATACACGCCTACGGGCAAAACATATAAACTAATATTCTGTCTCACGTTCTCCTCATTGCGAGTTAAGTTAACTAGCCAGCGTTTGATGTGAGAAAATCATTTATCAGACACACACTGCAATTTATTAAGGCAGAAATCAAAGAGAGAAAAATACAAACGTTCTGCAATCTGGATCGTCAATGAAAATCTAAATCCATCAAGCACGCAATTAGATTCTTAGTGAAATATATGGACGTTTGTGAAGGATCTGTTTTTTCCGGGTTGTTTTTCCAATGACAGACATTTCTGTCAGAAGAGTCTGAGCCCTTGTCACCCAGTAACTATGTGAGATAGTGAGCATACAGTTGGCTGTCTGTCTATTCATGCACAGACCAGATGCTGGGCACAAACAACAGCAGCTGAAACAATTCATTTCTGGATAAGTGAAACGTGTGTGAGTGTGTGTGTGAGTGGTGTGTGTGTGTGTGTGTGTCTGTGTGTGTGTTTGTGTATGTGTGTGTGTGTGTGTGTGTGTGTGTGTGTGTGTGTGTGTGTGTGTGTGTGTGTGTGTGTGTGTGTGTGTGTGTGTGTGTGTGTGTGTGTGTGTGTGTGACATATGGACATTTCTGGATACATGCGTATGGCTGAATGTGGGCATTTACTAAATATGTATTGCGTGGGAGTGTGTGAATGTCAGTGAACGGGTGTTGATAAATGGTAACAGATGCTGCGTGCATGTGTACATGTTCCTGCATTTGTGTGTGTGTGTGTGTGTCATAGGCCTACATATATGGAGGCAAGCAGATGTGTGTAGATCCATTAGTGTAAGTGTGTGAGTGTGTGTGTGATGCCTGTGGAAAAGTGTGGGTGTGTGTAATATTTATGGATGGCTGTTGATGTGTGTGTGACTATTTTCATGTCATCTGACCATAACAAATGGAAGCATATGCAGAAAAGTATCTCATACCTACTGTAAAATATGGTGGTGGATCTTTGATGTTATGGGGCTACTTTGCTTCCACTGGTCCTGGGGCCCTTGTTATGTTCAACGGCATCATGAACTTTACCAAGTACCAGGATACTTTAGCCAAAAACATGGTTACCTCTACCAGGAGGCTGAAACTTGGCCGCAAGTGGATCTTCCAGCAAGACAATAACTCCTAACACATCAAAATCCACAAATAAGTGGTTAATTGACCACAAAATTAACATATTGCAATGGCTATCTCAGTCTTCGAACTCCATTGAAAACCTGTGGTTTGAATTAGAGAACGACCGTTAATCGGCCAAGCTGATATATCGGGCCGATATTGGCCATTTCAAGTCTATCGGTTATCGGCCCTTCTCTATCGCCTTCCCTTTCCATAGCAAAACTGCTGCTATGCCAGCCACCGCTCACCGCCTGAGCCACGAGCACTGCACAATGCTGAGGAATGTCTAGCTGGGAAAATCAGCAGCAAGCTAGCTCATTCTCCAACAGAAAGGTGCTGTATTGAGAAATATTAGTTGCAAATATTAGTTTAGTTCATTCACTAATAATAAGGCTTGTGTCGACGTGCCAGGACATGCATGCAATAAGCAAGCTAGCTATGTGGCCTGTTAGCAAATATTACAATAACTATATAACCTTTTCATCTGTGATGTTAGCTAGCTAGCTATATTAGCTACTATGCTAGCTAGCTGGCTAGATAAACATGGTGCTAAAATATCAGATAGGAGCTAATAGCCAACATAGCTAGCTAACGTTAGCTGGTTATCATTTTGAACATGCACCATTTTCAGCAACGAAACATCTGACTTGTGGTGTAACGTTAGCTATTTACTGATGTGCCGATCTGACCAGCCGCAATCGTATCCGTAAATTGACAGTTGATAATCGGATTAGATGATTGTCGTAATAGGGAAAGAAAAAAGTGTTTGAAAATGCCCAAATAAAGGTTGGCAATAGATTTAGCTATCTAAGAATCTTCCTGCATGTTTATGGACCAAGAAAACTGTAGATCAGCGCGCATGTGTGTACGTTCTCACTTAAACAATGGGAATATTTTAGTCATTTAGACAGAATGTGCATCGTTGTTTCATATTTTTTCCTACCCTCACTTTCCTTGTTAGATATGAGGGGCAGCAGGTAGCCTAGAGTTTAAGAGCATTGGGCCAGTAACTGAAAGAATGCTGGTTTGAATCCCTGAGCCACTAAGGTAGAAAAATCTGCCGTTCTGCCCTTGAGCAAGGCAGTTAACTACCAACAACAACTGCTCCCCGGGCGTGGATGTCGATTAAGGCAACCTCTCTGATTCAGAGGGGTTGGGTTAAATGCGAAAGACACATTTCGGTTGAATGCATTCAGTTGTGTAACTGACTAGTCAGTTTCCTTTTATTAGGCACATTTATGCCTTGGTAGCAAATGTCATCAACATTGAGCTAGCTCTCATAGTAGCAGTAAACAGCAGCAAGTGATATGAGCGATGGAGAGAGATGTGAGGAGATGTGAAAGGGAGCGGAGTTACAGCCTCGCTCTATCCAATCGTAGCAGTAGGATCAAGTTACAACCCGCCCATTTCTTGACAGGTAGCTGAACTAGCCAATTGAGTTGTTTCGAATTTCGTCCTGGCAGCCAAGCTGTTTAGAGATGCGTCCTGACAGCTGAAAAAAATACTTCTCCCCGATCATGGAAAATGATGGAAAATACTAGTTTTATAAGCATCCGTGATCACAAACCATGACGTTACGTTGGACCCATTTGCATTGAATATATGTTATTTTATATTCTCAAACTAACAGCATTGCCTATATGATGTTCTTCCATACAGGCGTGACATGCTGGAGTGATGCTTCTATGCAAATGTTTTGATCATTAGGTAACAAATGGAAGGAAAACAGATTATCATCTGTAGCACCATAGACTCCATTGATCAGCTAAAACAAGCTCAATAACTCAATGCATGCACACACTCCCATTGAATATGCATTCACCTGTATTGTGAATAGGCCAATGACATCATAATTTACCCAATTTATCAAGAGATTTACCATTAAAATAAAATGATTACCATTATGTAGTTATGTAGTTAGATTGGTAAAAACAAAGTCATATTAATTGTTTGATCCAAAAAAAATTACGCATTAACGCATACATAGCTGTATCTGGGACATTTTGTCATCAAAATGTTCAAATTTAATTATATTGAATATTGGCCAAAAATATTGTCCATCAGCATCCTTGACCTCCAAAAATCGGTGTCTGCATCAGCTCTAAAAAAAACATATCGGTCGTTCTCTAGTTTGAATTGAAGAGGGCAGTCCATAAGCGCAGACAAAGGATATCAAGGATTTGGAAAGACTCTGTGTTCTCCACTCTCATAAAACATTTTTGAAAAAGGCTCAGTGTTGTAATCCTCGCAAGTGGAGGGTGCATGGAGTATTGAAAACAGGGGTGCCAATAATTTTGACACCTATCTTTTAGAGAATTGGTTTAATTACTTGTTAAACAAAATCTATTTCTCTGACCAATTGTGTTAGTATAAAGTAATATCATTTTCCAAATTTTTGGAGCATACAATCCACAGTTGAAGTCGGAAGTTTACATACACCTTAGCCAAATACATTTAAACTCAGTCTTTCACAATTACTGACATTTAATCCTAGTAAAAATTCCCTTTCTTAGGTCAGTTAGGATCACCACTTTATTTTAAGAATGTGAAATGTCAGAATAATAGTAGAGAGAATGATTTGTTTAAGCTTTTATTGATTTCATCATATTCCCAGTGTGTCAGAAGTTTACATACACTCAATTAGTATTTGGTAGCATTGCCTTTAAATTGTTTAACTTCGGTCAAACGTTTCGGATAGCCTTCTACAAGCTTCCCACAATAAGTTGGGTGAATTTTGGCCCATTCTTACTGACAGAGCTGGTGTAACTGAGTCAGGTTTGTAGGCCTCCTTGCTCGCACACGCTTTTTCAGTTCTGCCCACACATTTTATATAGGATTGGGGTCAGGGCTTTGTGATGGCCACTCCAATACCTTGACTTTGTTGTCCTTAAGCCATTTTGCCACAACTTTGGAAGTATGCTTGGGGTCATTGTCCATTTGGAAGACCCATTTGCGACCAAGCCTTAACTTCCTGACTGATGTCTTGAGATGTTGCTTCAATATATCCACACATTTTCCTTCCTCATGCCATCTATTTTGTGAAGTGCACCAGTCCCTCCTGCAGCAAAGCACCCCCACAGCATGATGCTGCCACCCCTGTGCTTCACGGTTGGGATGGTGTTCTTCAGCTTGCTAGCCTTCCCCTTTTTCCTCCAAACATAACGATGGTCATTATGGCCAAACAGTTCTATTTTTGTTTCATCAGACCAGAGGACATTTCACCAAAAAGTACGATCTTTGTCCCCATGTGCAGTTGCAAACCGTAGTCTGGCTTTCTTATGGTGGTTTTGGAGCAGTGGCTTCTTCCTTGCTGAGCGGCCTTTCAGGTTATGTTGATATAGGACTAGTTTTACTGTGGATATAGATACTTTTGTACCTG